TCGTGTTGGATTGGCTTAGTGATGACTAGGGGGTACCTTTTAGGATTGAGTTTATTGAGGAAATTGTATATTTGTGTTGCCTTGATATCATGTGAAAATTGTTATCCGGTGTCACTAACCAATAAGAAACTCTAAATGGGGGTAGGTATATTCACCTCATTTGGAACTTCTTATTGGTCGTCGTTGATACTGCGTAGATGGGATCATTGTTGTACTCAATATTTATTTGGAGTTGCTTAATCCAATTTGCTTGATGTGCAAAATGGGACTTCTTCTCTTATGAAATATGGTTTAGGCTTGAGGGATTACAATGGTGTTTGCTCAAGGCTCTCTTTTGTTGGCACGAAAAGCAATGTTAAAATTGGGGCCATAAATTGTTGGTGTCCCTAAGAATAAATGTTCTAATGCCAGTGTAGATATTAGTAGTTGAAATGATTCCATTTGCACCATCAACAAAGTGAATGATTTTTAAAAGATTTTGTTAAAATGTATTTTTAGTAAACATATTAAGAAATTTAAAATGTTTATAAATTTTGTATAAAAGTGCATGTAATAAAAATTTCTAACATTCTAAAATTTTTAAGGTGTCTTTGGGATACATATTAATAAATTTGTTAATATTTTAGTCTCTATTAAAAAATGTGTACTCTCTAAAAAATGATAACAGTAGCCTTTTCAATGCATTGAGTGTATCTGAATTCAGTCAAAACGGGATCCAATATATTTGAAATGTATTTAATAAAATTTGATTTGATTGCTTTGCAATCTCATGATTGATCTAATATTAAATGTAGTGGATTCGGATACACGTAATTGGGAAATTGAAGTTGTTTTGTCCTAGTAGATTTATATTTTGTTTCTATTATCTCTATTTTTCATACACTGTTTGACATGTAAAAATGGATGCAAGAATGCTATAATTCAAAATATATATATCTATATAAATCGAAGTTGATGGATGGGTTATCCAGATAAGACGGATTCAAATTTAGATTGGCCATCGTTGGATCTGTTGAATTCAGATTCAAATAAATACTGGATGACTTATAAATTCGAATAAATACTGGATGACTTATAAATCTCTATTTTTCATACTGCTCTGATACCAATAAAAGTGTTTGACACAGGGTATAGGCTAAGCACGTCTGTCAACGACTTACACTACAGATAGTCCTAACTGTTAACCACAAGACGGACAAACAGAGCTACGCGACTTGAATGACGTCCCACTCAACCTTACTCTATACTACCTCTCATACGGCAGAAACCCAAGAATAAGATTTAACATAGTTTTATTTGATTTAAATTTAATTACATCATATATGGTCCATATATTTACTGTGCTGGTAGAGGAGGCCTAGTGGCCCTTGCCAAAAGGCAGATTTGTTCGTTGATTAAATTCTGGACTTCGTTTATCTTATTATTACACTCTTCTAATTGTTGTTGAACCCAAAGTTTATTACCATTACGTGCAAATTCTATGTAATGTAATAAATTTCTTTTTCTATTTGTCCAAATATCTAATATATCATTTAATATAATAAGTTGATAAACAGTTATACATTAAAGGAAATACAAAGAGAAATACTTACAAACCAGTAGACTTTTATTAAACTGCTAGCTTCAAAGAAAAACACACTGAAAGAAGAGAGAGAGAAGACAGAATATAAAACTTAGAAAATAAATTTCGTGGTGCCTTCTACAATCCAGAGGCTACCTATTTATATTACAAGAAAGAGAGATAACGAAGACAGGTGGCGTGTGCTAGATGGTTGTTGCAGTCGAGCATCCTATCTTCTCTATCTTCTTGTCGGTAACGTGAGACAGCTGGAAAGGAAGCAGATAGTGGAATCTGCTTTTGCCAAAAGTAGGTTGGCAGGTTGTCAATCATGCACCGAAAGTTGGTATGTCGTTTTGTAGAGCTGTAAAAGTGGCTAATTGGAATGGCAGACAGAGCTGTATGGATAGGCCAAAGGTATTAGTCATCTTTGCCTTTGCCTTTACTTTTGTTTTTGTCTTGGATGAGTTTGTCAGCAATCATTTCTGTAACCGAATCCCAAAAATCTCCAAATTTTGGTTCATTGTCGGTCGGGTCTTCATGTGGATCTTGGGATTCTCTTGCAAGGACTGTAAACTCATTTTCATCATCGTAAGGATCAGTAGGAACTCTGTCATCCTCACTTTGGGTACTGGAGACTGATTTCATACTGGAATCTTTGCTGGACATGGATTGGAGAAACTGTTGCTTCATATAATCCATACTTTTAACAATAAGTTCTGTTTCTGATAAGTCTGGAAATTGCTGTCTAAGTTCTTGCTGGACCTGGATAAAAGGATTTACTGGAGATGCTGGAATAAGCTTGGGAGAGGCATCCCAACAAGCTTGTGTATGATCCTTAATTTTTTGAAGCAACTCCTGCTTTGGCTTATGATCATCCATTTTAATCCACCATTTATAGAGAAAAATTCTTTTTAAGCTTGGAATTTTATTCTGGAAATCACATCTGAAATCCCACTTCCAGATCCATAGAATTCCAAATCTGATAACAAAATGGACAAGACATTTTGACATAGAAATGTCCTTATTTGCTGGAATTTTACTGAAAGCTGCTTGCCATTCATTGAATGCAAGCCTAACATGTTCTGGAAATGCATCAAGTTGGAGACCAAATGTATCCCACCAAATGAGAAACCAGGATGGGAGATCATTTTTTAATAAGTCAGGAAGAACTCGAAAAAACCAAGAATGGCTGCGAGGAGGGTTCATATAATAAAATGCCTGAGTAAAGGCATCTATATAATCCCAATAACTGTAGCGGGTTTCTTTAGAACGAATGTCAAGGGTTCGGGTGACATGTGGATGAATGCCCCAAGCTTGAATGGGTAAAATAGTCTGGATAGTGGCCTTACTGTAATTAATAGGACTGGCAGTTGGATTAGGAGCGGCCAGAGTATGCTGGAATTGTACGGATGCAAGTTCAGTAAGAATTTGCTCGTACACATATCGGTATTGATCAAAATGGAGAGGAGAATGTTGAGTGGCAAGATAGCGACGCTTAATCTCCCAAGGATCAACCATCCATTGAATATCGACAGAATCAATATAGAGGACAGTTTCCTCTTTGATAGAATTCTAGAAATAAGATGTGTCTGGAGCAAGAAGGACATCTTTAGCAGGGATTTGGACATGCTGAACATACCATAATGGAAAAGGGAATAGAACTTGAATTTCCTCAAGATAGGTATAATACTGGAGTTTATAATCCTGTATCTGTTTTTTAGTATGAGTAGAAAAATACCATTTTCTAAATTCGGTATATTTATCCTGGAATAAATCCTAATTTAAGATTTTTCGATTTTCACTACCTGGTGTGCAATGATGAAAGAGTATTGATGTAGTGAGATTGTTTGACAATGGCCATGCAAGAGAGTTTCTACTTCTGCAAATAGGGATCATACATCAGGGCTTGTTGAAAGGATCTCCAGTGAATACCACTGTACTCCATGTGCACTTTCTTAAATTAGCTTTTTTCTGCATTACATCAGCTAATACCACTGAGATTGTTTGATTCTTTCTATTTTGGGTATCCATATATATATATATAGATTGCTAAGCCTCTTATTGATGCTTTGATTTAAATAAAAAATTTAATGTAAAAGAAAAAAGAAGGAAAAGATAAAACAATCTAAGAAGGGAACCACATGAATTCTGGCTTTGCTGAACACTCTTGGAACTAGTGCAAGGTCTGAGCCAAATTGTCCTCGTGTTGGATTGGCTTAGTGATGACTAGGGGGTACCTTTTAGGATTGAGTATATTGAGGAAATTGTATATTTGTGTTGCCTTGATATTTGTTATCTAGTGTCACTAACCAATAAGAAACTCTAAATGGGGGCAGGTATATTCGCCTCATTTGGAACTTCTTATTGGTCGTCGTTGATACTGCGTAGATGGGATCATTGTTGTACTCAATATTTATTTGGAGTTGCTTAATCCAATTTGCTTGATGTGCAAAATGGGGCTTCTTCTCTTATGAAATGTGGTTTAGGCTTGAGGGACTACAAGTCTACAATGGTGTTTGCTCAAGGCTCTCTTTTGTTGGCATGAAAAGCAAAGTTAAAATTGGGGCCATAAATTGTTGGTGTCCCTAAGAATAAATGTTCTAATGCCAGTGTAGATATTAGTAGTTGAAATGATTCCATTTGCACCATCAACAAAGTGAATGATTTTTAAAAGGTTTTGTTAACATGTATTTTTAGTAAACATATTAAGAAATTTAAAATGTTTATAAATTTTGTATAAAAGTGCATGTAATAAAAATTACCAACATTCTAAAATTTTTAAGGTGTCTTTGGGATACATATTAATAAATTTGTTAATATTTTAGTCTCTATTAAAAAATGTGTACTCTCTAAAAAATGATAACAGTAGCCTTTTCAATGGATTGAGTGTATCTGAATTCAATCAAAACGGGATCCAATATATTTGAAATGTATTTAATAAAATTTGATTTGATTGCTTTATAATCTCATGATTGATCTAATATTAAATGTAGTGGATTCGGATACACGTAATTGGAAAATTGAAGTTATTTTGTCCTAGTAGATTTATATTTTGTTTCTATTGTCTCTATTTTTCATACACTGTTTGGGCTATCCAGATAAGACGGATTCAAATTTAGATTGGCCATTGTTGGATCTGTTGAATTCAGATTCGAATAAATACTGGATGACTTATAAATTTGGCAGAGTCCGATCTGTTGAAAGGCATGGATAGCATCATGACATGGTTTCATTCACCTTGACAAACTTTAGCTGTTTATACATAGTATATGTTACGCAGCTGAGCAAAAAGATGATCATGCTATTAATTGACATGCCATAGATCAATTATAGTTGCTTAGTAACTGCAATGACAGGAGGAATAAAAGCATTAATATATTTTTGTGAAAAAATAATACTAATAGACTTTAGCATCTAAAGCCCACCAAAAAAAAGAGGAGAAAAGAATAGAGAATCAAAGTGATGAAAGTAGATTTTGTTAGCTCAATCCACCAAATTGATGCTCTTAAAAGTTCCATTATCTAAAAAGCTTCAAATCCAAGATGATAAAAACAAGTTAAAAAACCAGTTCTCCCTCATAAGCTAGACAAGGTTGCAAATTCAAATACCCAGAAGTCCACAGTTAAAAAGTATCACTAGTTTTTCTTTCACTTCTTCCTCTTCTTTGGAGGCTGGAGTGCCTCTTCTTCTTCATCCTCCTCCTCATCCTCCGCGGGTTCCTCTTCTTCTACGATTTCCTCCTCATCCTCATCCCCACCGTCCTCGTCCTCATCATCATCTTCACCATCTTCATCGCCATCCTCATCATCACCGTCCCCATGGCCATCACCATCCTCTTCATCTTCCTCTTCCCCGTTCTCTTCCCCTGCTCCACCCGCGCCTTCTTCAGGCCCCTTTTTGGCATTCCCATTGCTGCTGTTGGGATTGTCACTGTGTCCTCCTCCTGATGGCAGCTCATCTTCATCTTCTCCTACGCCACCATCTCCATTATCATTGTCGTCATCGTCTTCATCTCCATCTGCCTCCTCAGCATCAACCACTTTCAATTGGCTTTCATTGTTATGCTGTCCTTTGGCTTTGGGCATGTTAAGCCCAACAATGGCCTGAAACTAATAGATGAAGATGCAATTCCAGAGTCAGGAATAATAAATACAAAATAAACAAAATCATGATATAACATTGTTATTGTTCTTGATTTCCATGAGTGCTTTGACATGGACTCTGGTATAACAAAACTGATTTTTTGTTTTTACCAAGGTTATGTTGGATAAGGATTAAGGGTGTCTAGTCGTGGTCCAAAAGCCATAATCATTGTATAGAGAACTAAGAACACATCATGTCTTTAACTTATCGTACTAATTCAGAACGTCATGTGATTGTGTTTATCTAATGATATTTTGTGATTTGCAGTTCATTTTCTTGGTTTTTAGATCATACAAGTATTTAACCCCTTGCTATTGAACAGACATATAACTAATGTAAAATTTTCAAAAGACAGCACTTTAAGTTAAGTGTATATATATATGTGTGTGTGCGCGCAGGCGTGCGCATACCATCATTATTACTCTACAAAACAGTGTTAGTAACTGTAAGGATTGTTGTATCCGAAAGGGTTGAACCTATAGGACCGCCTCATGGAATGAAAAGCAAACCTACTCGTACCTTCAGCTATTGTGAGCATGTGTGAGGACACCACAACTGAGCAAGATTTCTGTTCTTATATTTGGAATGGTTGGATCCCTCCTAACCCTTCCAATATTATTATTTTTTAAATTAAACCCTCTTTGAAAAGGATTGTCATTTGATTTGTGAATAAGAGAGCAGGTTTGGACTAAATTGTTTTCAAATAAATTAATCTTACATTTGATTTAAACTTTTTTATCTGGATAACTAATCATGAGGGAGCATTTAAACTCTCTTTGGAAAGGATTATCATTTGATTTGTGAATAAGAGAGCATTTTCTATATGTGACATGGGGGAGCATTTTAAACTCTCTTTGGAAAGGATTGTCATTTGATTTGTGAATAAGAGAGCAGGTTTGGACTAAATTGTTTTCAAATAAATTAATCTTACATTTGATTTAAACTTTTTTATCTGGATAACTAATCATGAGGGAGCATTTTAAACTCTCTTTGGAAAGGATTGTCATTTGATTTGTGAATAAGAGAGCATTTTCTATATGTGACATAGTGTCAAAAAAAAATTTTTAATTATTTTATAGAAATTTTATAAGAATATATTCATATAATGATTGTATAAAATACAAATATATAAAAAGTATGAAATGAAAAATATCGAATACAAATATCACACCCTTATCAAATATTGAGCATTTTGAAAAATCCATATAATATAGGCGGTCACAAAATTTCAAAAATACCCTCCTTAAAATGTCCATCTAAATCCTATTGGTCTGTGTTTGCCATTCTAATAAGCTCCCACGTTGTCCTTTCACATACCTCATATTTTTCTTTAATGGCCCAATAAAATTGTATATTTTATCTCTCTTTTATTTTTATTTTTTTTATATATTGTGGATCACATGTTATTTATATATATATATATATATCAAATTATTCAAAATACATGCCACAGTAATCTCTACCAAACATCCTATTGACCCAAAAATAATAATAAACAAAGACCAAAGACTTTGATATTATTTCACAATACAAATTTCTTCACCTACTATATGTGCTAGTCATTTTATATACAAAAATCAATTTGACCCAATTATCATTACTAAAATGATTTTATTATAATTGTTTCATAGTATATTTTAAAAATAAAACTCATCATTCATCTTGTTTATAAATAACAGATTAATCAATTTTTTTTAAAAATAATTTTGAAAGATGAATTATCAAGATCATAAATATAAAATGCACAAATATAACACATATTTTACAATTATAAATGTGAATATTTTTTTTATGTTATATTTATTTATTCTGTGTTTGAAATTTTCTCTACTACAAGTATAGCAATGTGATGTGCTAGTCAACTCTATCCTCACTTTATTCAAAATATATTTATACCTATAGTTATGTGTACCTATTTATTTTAATAATCATTTTCAACTTGCTAGTTAAATGCCAAACGCTGCAAATGACAGTCTTGACTATTTATATATTATCCAAACAGGGCCCACATGGGTGACCAACCGGAACTGAAAAAGGTACAGACCAAATTTAATGATTTCTTTCAGTTCCGGGAAGAGGAAACACGTACTGGCAATACGCTTTCTCCGCTTTTTGGGTTAAAAAAATATTTAATTTATAATTATAATTCTTATTTTTTTTTATAAACATTACATTTAATTTAAAACAAGTTTAATTTTCTTTTTATAAAAATTAAAAATATATATTTATTTAGATCATTCCAAATAATTTCTAAAATAGTCAACTTCCTAAAGACCCTTAGGTTGGTTTGAGAAGAGGATTGACTTTTAACCTGGGTTAAAAAGTTTAATTTGGAAAGAATTTTTTGATTTTTTGGTTTTTTTGACTTTTTTTTGTGAGAGAATAGTGTAATAATTATGAGTTAGATGTAATGTTTCGTTTGTTGTGACTAAAATAGCCTATTTTGTCTTTTATGACTAAAATAACCAGAAAAAAAAACCCACAAAACCACTTCCCAAACGGAAGCAACAAAAAAATGTTTTTAGAGGTTGTTTGAGAAGAGTTTTTATGAAGAAATGCGTACAAAAAATAGACAAGATCTAAATAAATATATTTATCTAAAAAAATATGAGATGCTAAGCAAAATCTTACATATACAGATGGTGTTAATTTTACAACAAATTCTTAAAATTACCGAAATAAGGAAATATGACAATTACAAAATTATAAGACCTTATTTTTACCTTATTTGTGGTTATTTTAAATGTATCAGTGAACAGTTAAATCCGTGAAAAATGTGAACTCAAACTCTGTTTGATTCTATTCACCAAAAAAAAAAAAATCGGCAAAAGATATATATATTTTTTTTGGCTACCAATTTTTTTGTCACCAAAAATGTCATTTTTTTTTTTTTTTTTCATTTTAATAATTTTTTTTTTAAATGTGCCTAATCCAAATTTAATTTAAAAAACATGTATACAATTTTTTTAAAAAAATTAATAAATACAAAAAAATAAAATAAAAAATATATTGAACTTTTGTAATTTTTTTTTTTGCATTTAGTGAATTTTAATAAAAAAAAGTTCACAAAATTTATACTTTTTAAATATATTTAAATTAATTAAATCTAAAAAATTAAAAAAATTGATTAAATTTTTTTTAAAAATTCGCTAAAGCTCAAAAAATACGGATTAAAAACTCAAAAGATATATTTTTTTTAAACTTCAAAACCAAACAAAATACTTGGTATTATTTTCATTTTTCTATGCTTTTATTTTATTGTATTCTAAAAAATAACCACCCATTTCATATTATATAATTTTTGTCAAAGAAATTAATTAAATCTAAAAAATTAAAAAAATTGATTAAATTTTTTTTAAAAATTCGCTAAAGCTCAAAAAATACGGATTAAAAACTCAAAAGATATATTTTTTTTAAACTTCAAAACCAAACAAAATACTTGGTATTATTTTCATTTTTCTATGCTTTGATTTTATTGTATTCTAAAAAATAACCACCCATTTCATATTATATAGTTTTTGTCAAAGAAGTAATTTTTAAAACACTAAAAAATTATTTAAAAGGAAAAAAAAAAAGCATGGCGTTTAGAGAAAAAAATTTCTAAAGATATTTTTTGAAAACATTTTTCTTAAATTACTTTATTTTTTTTTCATTAACGAAAATTATTTATATAAAAAAAATAAAAACAAAAAAAATCTATGAATAAATGAAGCTTACTTACTTGAGCTGAATAAAGCAAAACTTTATTGACAAAAACGAGGGCGAATAGGATAGTAGCAAGAGTATCCCCGGCGCAAGATAGCAAAGCTTGGTTAACTATCACCTCCATTTGTACGGCCCACACACCTGCCAACAACAACAACATGATACGATACGAGACCGTTAGATCTCTCCCCGACTCCATTGGATCTCATTCCAAAGTCAGTTAAAAATATTTTCAGATTTAAATTTTTAATTTTTTTTTTAATTTTTTGATTTTCTCAACTCAGTTTAAAGAAGACAATGGAAACCTATACATACATGATATATGTATATGTATATGTGTATGTATATGTATAATAATGCGGATCTGAGAAGAAGAAGAAGTAGAAGCGAAGAGGAATAGTACTAGTAAAAGTAAGAAAAAGAAAATGGAACGAGAATAAGACAAGAAAATCTTTTTTTTTTTTCTTCTTCCTGGAAAGAAGAAGTTTCCAGGAAAAGAAAATACGAGAAAAAGTGGACGAGTACAGAAAATACCAGAAGACCTCGGGTGAACCGAACTTATGACTAAACGGAGATTTTCCGGGAAAATGGAAGAAATTTAAGGCAAAAAGTTCTAACAGAAAACACTAGAAAAACAAGTTATGAAAGCTGAGAGTTTTCCGAGAAAGTAAAAGAAAATTGTAACCGAATTTACTTATAAGATTTTCGGAGAAAATGGAGAATTTTTTCTTTTTTTTTTTTCAAGGTAAAAGGTAACAGAAAATGAGAAGGGAAAAAAAAAAAAAAAAAAAAAAAAGAGTAAAGAAAGGTGATGATTTTCCGAGAAAGTGAAAGAAAATTATGTGAGAAAAACAGTTACCTGGAATTGAGAAGTGAGAGCTGTACGTAGGTGTAAGCAGATCTGAAGCTGTAAACAAAAACGATGCTGAGAGAGAGAGAGAGAGAGAGAGAGAGTTAAAAGTTCTCTTTCATTTTCCACCGATTGATATTAATCGTAGAGACACTGAAAGAACAAGAGAAAGACTGAAAACAAAAGGAGAGAGAGAGAGAGCTGACCAAGAGTTTTCGGAAGCGAACGGGCAGAACGGGCAGCGAACGAAGATAGGGCTTTTGGATGTCGGTCAGTACTTGGGGCAGCCCTACAATAATAAGTGCAGAGCGACAAAAATAAAGCTATGATACATGACACTTTTGTTTGTTCAGTGCCAAAGTAGAGAATCTAATTCTATTCCTTAGAAAAATGATACTCTCCGTACTAAAATAATAGTCTTTTTTTTAAGAATCTATTTTTTTTAATAATATAATTATTAGATTTTAAAAATATTTAGTGTATTTAATTTTAATTTTTTTAATTCAGTTTTTTTTTAAAAAAATTTCGTATTTTTTTTACTTTTAATAAATATTTTTTAAATTTTAAATAATTTTTTTTAATACACTTTATTTAGATGTATCTAAATAGTAAAATATTTCTGAAAAAATATTTTAAAAAATTAATAAATATAAAAAATATAAAAAATGTACTGAATTTTGTATTTTTGTGTGTGCATATTTTGGTATTTAATATATTTTTCAAAGATTTTTTCACAAATATTATACTTTTTAAGTGTATTTATGTTAGGTGTGTCTAAAAATTACTTAAAATATTAAAAAAATTCATTGAAAATATTAAAATACGAAAAATAAAAAAATAAAATTTTTTGAAAATCAAAACCAAACAAGCTGATTAATTTTTTAAAATTATTCTTTAGGAAATATCAATGTCATAACTATACTTTTTATGTTGTTAATGAATTTAAAAGAAAGACAAAATAAAAAATTTATATTATTTTTGTACTTGACTTTTGAAAAAGGACTAATATTTTAAGACAATGAAAAATAAAATAAGAGATTAATATTTTGGGACAGAGAGAATATATAAATTTATTTTTTAAATTTATTTTTAAGATTTAATAATGTATAAGTAATATGATTAATTCATAATTAGAGAAGATATGTGAAATAATATTATTTTTAATATTCTAATCGATTAACACACCGTTAAACTTGAAAAGTGAGTTAATTTTTTTTACTTTATTCATTTTGATCCATTAAGGGGAAATGTGAAATTTTTCAAAAAATAATTAAAATAATAAACTTTTTATAAATCTCTTATTATTTTTTAAAAGGTGCATTGATTTAAATTTTTTCTTCTTTTTAACTTTGGTTTCACCACTAAACTAGCTCTGGGTTTTTTAGGATTCGCTTGGGAATATAGTAATGTTTTGAAAATCGGACCGGTGAGTGAATCGGAAAAAGGATTGGGTGGACGGGTCACCGGTTCAACCGTCCGGTCAAAACGGTCGAACCGTGACGTCATAATTAATATTATATAATTAAAAAATATAATTAAAAATTATAAATAAATAAAAATATATATAAATACTCAAATAAAAATAAAAATTGTTGTATAATATTTATTAATAATATTTAATAAAGTCATAATTGATAAAAAGAAAGTCACTTGTTTTAAAGAAATTAAAATTTTTAAGCATTCCCTCCAAACAAATTGATTCAATGTTAGGTTTAATTTTGGAGGGAAATGAAATTTTCAACTCTCCCTCCCATCAATATGTTTCAAATAATTTGATTGAATCCCACATAGAATTTTGTAGGTTCTTTTTGAAATTTTTTTTCCTATAAATAGGAATAGACTTTCATAATCTTCTCCAACTTCTAATGAGACTCTTCCTTATGAGAGGAGACTCTTGAAGTAAGAATTTTTAGTCAAAATTTTGAAATATATTTATATATAATATATATATATACATAAGAAAGAAAGAAAAGAAAAAAAAACCAACGGTCCAACCCACCAAACCCGGTCCGGGTCACTAGTTTTCCCGATTCGACCGCCGGATTTTCCGATTTTCCATTTCTAGGCCGGTTTTGCTCCTACTTCGGTTCTAGGGGTTGACTGGACCGGAACAAGGCCCGATTCTCAGTCCAACCAGTTCGACCGGCCGGTCCGGTCCGGGTTTCACAACATTGGAAGATAGTATTTTAGTTAAGAAATAAAAAATTATTAAAAAAAAGATAAATAGTCAAATAAAAATTTTAAGGATTTGTTTGGGATGTGGGTTGATTTTTTAACTTTTGACTTACTGGCTATTTTAACTTGAGGCTAAAAAGTCTCGTTTCAAATAGGTTTTTTGGTTTTTTTTTTTTTAATTTTTGTGAGAAAAAAATAAAATGATTATGGATTAGATGTGATGTTTTGTCTTATTGAGTTAAAAAGTCTATTTTGTCTTTTTGTGACTTAGGTGGTGTTTGACAAGTTGGTTTGTGGCTAAAATAGCCACAAAAGACAAAATAGGTTATTTTAGCCACAACAAACAAAATATCACATCTAATTCATAATTATTACACTTTTCTCTTGCAAAAAAAGTCAAAAAAGTCAAAGCCTCCGTTTGGGAAGTGGATTGGCTTTTTGGCTTTTTGGCTTTTTTTGCTATTTTAGCCTGGGCTAAAAAGCTTGGTTTGGGAAGGGCTTTTTGGTTTTTGGCTTTTTTGACTTTTTTTGTGAGAGAAAAGTGTAATGATTATGGGTTGGATGTAATGTTTTGTTTGTTGTGGCTAAAATAGCCTGTTTTGTCTTTTATGGCTATTTTAGCCCCAACCCAACTTGCCAAACACCACCAAAAAGTCTTTCCCAAACCAAGTTTTTTACCCCAGGCTAAAATAGTCAAAAAAATAAAAAAGTCAAAAAGTCAACCCACTTTACAAACGGAGACTAAAATAGTTAAAAAGTCAAAAAGCCTGACATGCCAAACGAAGGTTAAATATTCATTTTTATTCTCTCTATTTCTTACATATATTTTTTTTTGCAAAATTAAAAAATTATTATTAACGCTTCAATTTTTTTCATATAATATCAATTATCATAATTTAAATTTTTTATTATTAATGAATTTAAAAAAAGAACAAAATAATAAATTCATATTATTTTATTTATTAATTTTTGAAAAGTGACTAATATTTTGGAATAATAAAAAATAGAATAAGAGATTAATATTTTGGGACAGAAGGAATATATAAATTTATTTTTTAGATTTAATAATGTATAAGTAATATGATTAATTCATAATTAGAGAAAATATGTGAAATAGTATTATTTTTAATATTCTAATCGACTATCACACCGTTAAACTTGAAAAGTGAGTCTAATTTATTTTGTTTCGAATAATAATGTTTTATTCATTTTGATCCATTAAGGGGAAATATGAAATTTTTCAAAAAATAATTAAAATAATAAACTTTTTATAAATCTCTTATTACTTTTTAAAAGGTGCACTGATTTAAATTTTTTCTTCTTTTTAATTTTGGTTTCACCACTAAACTAGGTCTGGGTTTTTTAGGATTTGCTTGGGAAGATAGTATTTTAGTTAAGAAATAAAAAATTATTTTAAAAAAAGCTAAATAGTCAGATAAAAATTTTAAGAATTTGTTTAGGATATGGATTGATTTTTTAACTTTTGACTCTTTGGCTATTTTAACTTGAGACTAAAAAGTTTCGTTTCAGATAGGTTTTTTGATTTTTTTTTTAAAATTTTTGTGAGAGAAAAAATAAAATGATTACGGATTAGATGTGTTATTTTGTTTTATTGGGTTAACAAGTCTATTTTATCCTTTTGTGACTAAAATAGTCAAAAAATAAAAAACCTGACACGCCAAACGAAGGTTAAATATTCATTTTTATTCTCTTTATTTCTTACATATATATTTTTTTGTAAAATTAAAAAATTATTATTAACGCTACATTTTTTTCCATATAATATTTTAATTAAAAAAATTAGACAAACGCTAACAAAATTGCATCTCAAACGAGCCATTAATAGTGCGTGGAATAGATATTTAGGGGTTGTTTAGGGTGTCTTAAAGAATAAAGCTTCCAACCCCCAGTGGGGGTGCTGGGGTCGTGCGTGTCGAGCCGGGATTGGCCAAAAAAAAAATTGTCTTCTTTTTTTGTTTTGTTTTGTTTTTTTTTTGTTTTCAGTGAATGGCGTGCTGCCACGTCATTGGGGGTCAGAAGCAAGGTTCGTGTCTTAAATAAGTGAATTTTTTAATTTTTTGGACTAAAAAGTTAAGGAAAAAAAATGGTTGTTTGGGTTAACTTTTTGACTTTTTCTGAAAAAATGTGTATTAAAAAATTATATAAATTAGTGTGTAGGAGAATATTAGGACTGTGAGTTGTACGGCCATACTGTCTGCGCAGGTTGAATTGATGCTAAGAAATGGTTGCCTAGTTTTTGGGCATTGCACTGGACGGTGTTATTTGGCCCGTGGGGGCCATCACAGGTCTCATTTTGATAATCTGAACCGTTCAATGTGTAGAACTCGTCGAGTACTATATTTTTATAAAAAATCACATTGCTCGGATATCAATAGCTATCTGATTAGATTAGTTTTTTTTCAACCATTAACCATAACACCATCCTTTTTCTTTTATACAAAACTGATTTGATCATATAGTTAGCAATATATCCGTTCAATGTGATTTTTTACAGATATATATTACTCGACGAGTTCTACATATTTAACGGTTCAAATTATCAAAATAAGATCCGTGATGGGCCCCCACGGGGCGAACAGTAGTGTGTCAAAATTGCACCCCAATTATGCAATTTTTCTAAAAAAATGCAGCCACAGATCTGAACCGGTCAGACTGAGTTGTAAACTGAGTTGTAATTTTGTGTGTAAAATTTATTTATTTATTTATTTTTTGATGAATAATGATAATTTTTATCTTTTTTAATAACTTTTTAATTTTTTTTCTGGATATCCCAAACCAGGCCTTATAATTCATGTTTAAATTAAATTGAGATTTTGACCTTGTTAAATTTTTTGGCGGAGAAATTTCATCCTGGCCCACACCTTATCTCACTTACCTATAAATTTTAGGTGGAGTTGTACATAAATCGAGTCGAGTCGAGTCGAGTCGAGTTTTAATATGTTTCATTTTATTTATTAAGATTTTAATGAGTTTGA